GGTCCGGGCGCGGTGACCGACCGTGTCCTCGATGAATGCTCCTCTCGGCATGGTCATCCGGTTGGGGAAGACCTGGGAGAGGTAATGCTCTGTCTCTGCGAGGTGCGGCTTGTCGTGCCAGAAGAACAGTGGCGTCAGAGGTATCTTGACTCCAATCCTGCCCTCCTCTAGCCCCAGCGTCTCAGTTCTCGGCGGAGAAAAGTTCTGCTTGTAGAGGTTGGTGAGGGCTCGCAGAGCAGGGAACTGCATAACATGGTCCGACTTGGCATAGTTGATCATCCGTATGGACGGGAAGCAGACGTATTTGATCGGCAGCGTGACACCATGTCCAACATCGCGAGGGGTCGGCTCATCGTCGTCTGGCCTCCGATGCTTTTGCATCAGGTCCAGCAGTGGACCGATGGGGATGTCAGCGATCAGAGCCCAGTCATGCTGTTGGATCCAGACATAGGGAGTCTCCGTCAGACGCAGCGCCGAGCGCACAGCGAGACCAAAGCCGATTCGCTGCGTCGGCTCGATAAAAGTGACGCGCCCATCGTGGGTCTTGGTCACGACCAGGGGCACCGCGTTCGTTTGCTGGGCGTATGCATCGGCGCCATACTCGGCCTCGGCGGCGCTCACAGACAGCAGCTCCGGTACGGGGTCATCCAGGTCCCCAGAGAAACAGTCGTAGAACTCGTCGAGGAGGAGCTGCTTGACATTCACCTTGTACTCGGCAAACTTCTCCGCTCCCTCGGCTGTCACACAGCCCTTCTTGAGCCGGGCCTCAGGCGTGACGCGGTCAAATGTGTCGATGACCAGGATCACGCGACAGGCGGCCAGGGTGGGGCAGTGGCGCTTGAAGGACAAGAGAATGGTGGCGATGAGCTCGGTGGACGGGGCCGATGGCGTTGGCGACGTGGTGATAATGAGCGTCACCAGGTCGGCATGGCTCGTACCGCCGGCGGCGGCGCGTTGGGGGATTTCCACTTGCGTCTCCAGGGAGGGCATCGTGCCAATCACCTGGAGAAAGCGGGACACCGGCGCAGATGGTCCCTCGCCGACGAGGCCATCCAGACGTTGCGTAGCGCGGAGCAGCTGGTCCGGACGGGCGGAGTGCGATGTCGCTAAGTTGGCTCCAGGCTTTGCAGGAAGAGAATTCCGATTTTGGACCCAGCAGCCAGCGGCGTCGGCAGTCTAAAGTGGGGCGCATCTCCCTGAAGCTTGCCGCCAGTCGGCGACGGGAGTAACCAGTCAAAGAATTAGGTCGAGAGACCATGATAAGAACTCTGGCAATCGCTTAGGAAATACGGTGTCAAACGAGTCCCTTCAGTTCGCAGCGCAAGAGAACCAACACACAAAGTGAAGTTGCGAGCACCTCGATGTCTGACAATTCTGATGTGGAGCCCGTCCTCCAGTGCTCCTTCCCCGCCTCTCTCCCTTCACACAGCAGTCAAATATTGTGACCTTGATTCCACTTCACCGATTGTCGCGAAATGAGAAATGAGGTATCATTTTCCATGCTAAGTTAACAGAACGCCGGTATATCTAGCACATGCGCCAAAGTCGGTGTCTGGAGTCTGATTTCCAGAACAATCGCCGAAACCTAACCAAATGGTCCCCGAGGACGGGCCGCCGCCGCTCCGAGACCAAACACGCTCGCTCCACCGAGTCGATCTCCGTCATTTCGATATCGTCACCTAGAAGACCGGAGCCCCATCGCTCATTTTCCGTCCAGGAACTCCGGGCTGCGACTGCCGATTGGCCCTCCATCGCTTCCACTCGCCCCAAACCGCCGACAACATCCAGAGAGCCCACATGACGGCCGCGACGGCGATGTAGGCCGTCTTAAGCCTGTCCGTCGCGCCGGCCATCCACAGACCGAGGCCACCGTTGGCGATTCCCAGAGTAATAAAAATGCGACCGTTGAAGATGTGTAGATACGACCACATCTGGCGTCGGCGGAGCTTCTTGAACTTGGCGTGGTGGATTAGCCCCAGGAACGGCTGGAGGAAGAGGAACACCAAGACCACGATGCCGATGATGGGGTGGTAGCTTGTGTTAGAGTTCGACATCTGGCTCCGTCAGCAAGGGTCGAGAAGAGGCAAAGCGCCAGGGCTCTTACCAAGTCACCACCCCCGGGGAACTGCACCATTCGCACCAGGTAAATACCAAGACCGACGGCGGCGATGTAGACCGTGTACGCAATCAGCTGGAATAGCCCGTGGATCCATATCGCGAACCGACCGGGGATCACGCGCATAAAGATGGAGCCGAGAGGGAAGAGGACGACCATGGCGAGGGCGCCGAGAATGCCGTGGATGGCGCGCGCCCTGGTCGCCGAATTGATATCGAACCCCGCTCCGCCCTGGAAGTTACCGAAGCCATTTCCATTCCCGCTGCCGCTCCCCGATCCAGATCCAGATCCGGACCCGCCAAACGGGTTCCCACTTCCTCCGCCGCCGTACCCACCACCGGGACCGTACTGGGCGTGTGCTCCAGCCGCTGAGGCTGCGCGCCTGCTGTCAGCGTCCGACCACAGAACATTGTTCGAGCGGTGAAACTTACCAAGGAGGACCGCAATTGCCGCGCGTTTTGAATCCATGCTGGGCTTCAAAGGATCATAAGTCGGACGCACAAACCGAAGGAGTGAAGGGTAAAAAAGCCAAGCCTTTCCGCCAGACGCCTCCTGGGGGGCATGACGCTGTTTTATCGTGGGGAAGACGCCTGCAGCCAACAAACCATCAACGGCACCCAATGATCTCACCGTGCGCAGCCCAGTGGCTTCTCGGACCCGCGATGGGGGAAGGCTTCAGCTGGGGCGGCCCCTTGCTGACCAGTCAACGGTGGCCTTTTTGCATTGTGTGCACGGTTGGACGACCCGAGCGAACCACTCAGGCTGCGGCAACCCCACAGGGCCAGGCCGACCAGCCGAGCCAACGCTGCGGTGCCTTGGGCCGGCGTCAGGTCGTTGACGAGCCGCCGATTTCCATGCGCGTTTGTGACGCGGTGCAAAGCTTGCAGCGTTGGCGAGGGAGGCTCAAGTGCCAAATGTGCCCATACGAAATGGGCGATTGCGCGTCCTGCTGCAGAGGGCCAGGAACGGCGCCGTTGATGGAGGGTCGAGGGGCTAATCACGGCATTGCGTCGGCGCGCGTGGGCGCCGACGTTCCGATGCGGCTGATGCCGTTTGCTGATCTCAGCCTCAGCGGGACCAAAATACGATCGGCGTGCATGCTCCTTCTTGCTTCAGATTGATGGTCGACGTGAGGCTGAGGCTCAAGCTGTGGCTTCTTGCCGGATATGGTCCGTTGTCAATATAATGCTCTCCATCTGAGTAAGTGAGATATTGTTTGCGGCTAACTAAAGATCACAGCCATGAGCCATGTCTCGATCGCTTCCCCATTAGCATCTCTCGTGTTGCCGCGGCCGGCCGAACAGAAGGTTCTTCCCTTTTTGCAGGTGATGTTACATCTCTTCGTCTCCTTCTTCCTCGGCCAGGGGATTCTTGCCAATCATCTCCTGCACGTACTGCACTGCCCAATTTGGTCTGGGGCCACCGGGCCGGTTGAGAGTGAAAGTACCATCCACAACTCGCCCGGCAGGTGAGATCGCTCTCTCGGTGTCAAAACTTATAGCGGCGCTGCTTCGCATGCTGTCGAGGCAGCGCTGTGACGAACTTCCTGAGCTCCCACCCATGAACCTCGACGTTGTTCAGTTCAACTTGTGACGGTCGAGCCTTTCCCTTGAGCAGAGCTGATAAAGACACATGTCCCCGTCCCCGAGGCTCCGCTAAATGCTCCCCGAACCAAACTCGGAGAAACTCGAGACTGGGTGTATCCATGCAAGCGCCAAGAACCGCCGCGGCGGTGCCATCTTCGAGTTCGTAGTCGTCTGCAAAGAACAGTGAGAACCTGGACAGCTTCTGAATCCCGACCAACCCGGTTTGTCGCCCCTGGGGGCTCAACTCGAACCGGGAGCCTTCGTTACCACGAAGCAAACAGATCCATTTGGAGTCCAGCGCCCCCGAAAGCCACGAAGAATTCCTTCAAGATATCAATCGGACGTGGCGCATCAAACGGTAGGCCGGTGAGCTTCAACGACGTTTCGGCACCCATTGGCAATAACATGCCTCCCCCATATGCGTCTTCGAGGTACTCATCCTGTGGGTTCTTGAACGAATCCATATAAGAACAGCAGCTATTGTCTACTAGTGATAACTCCTTGACCCGCGGCGTTCTACCCAAGGCAGCCACGACCGACTTGACGAACACCCCGTCCCTGATCAACGATTGCTGCTCATGATAAAGTTCGGAATATTGGCGATGAGCTTCGCGGAGTCGATTCAGATGGGACTGGGCTTCCTAGTCTTTCGGCGTAGTAACAAGCCTTCCCAGCGTCTTGTCCTACAATGGAATATGCGTGTAGTCATAACACCACCCCTTGTTGACCACTTCGGTACCTCCTTCGTACACCTGCCATCAGACGAACTCTCCAAGATCGCCGGCGAGGCCTCCATGGAAGAACTTGAGTTGGATAGCAACACAGGGAACCCCACGACCGATCTCAGAGCGTGAGAGGCGATCGAGCTCGGCAAGTGATTCGCGAGTTGGAACTACGCGGACCTCCTTGACAAGCAGATGGGAGCTGATATCGCGAAACCGGCGACAAGTCAAACGAAGCCTCGAAATGTTGGAACTAAGGCGAGGGGGCATCAAATTACAGTAGGAATCATCAGCGGCAAGTGAGCAGATTTTGATGAGAATCTCATTTGGCAAGGAATTGATGGGCGCTTTTTGCCCTTGTGCAGCCATGTTGTGCTGGGCTTTGATGCTTGGGAAGAAGTTCTCCGAAGCTAGAGCCCACGGAGCACCAGGGGCCTTGAACCAGCCCGGTCACTCAGCGAGAAGGAGCCCGACGGCTAACAGTGCGCGTCGTCAACTCTTCACGGAGCAAGCTTCACAGGTGTTGGCAGCTATTCGGTGCAGGATACCAGCAAGAAATTGCAATAAAAACCGGCGGGCCCACTGGTGTAACGGTCAACGCGTCTCACTCCTGCATGCTCTTTGCTATCCTTATTCTTGCTTTGTACAGTATTGTATTCTTTCGCAGGAGTGAGAAGATCTCGGGTTCGAGTCCTGGGGGGGTCATCTCTTTTTGGCCCCATCAGTCACAACTAGCCTGTGCTTGACACTAGGTGAAGATGTTAGGCACTCAGCAGACATTGCTCGGGCAAATGCACACTCGCCGTTCTCACTCCCGATGAGCAGCGCTCCCAAGTCTCTTCCATTCGCTATCTAAAGCAAACATCACCACCGAATAATAACGCCCCAGCATGAAGAACCACCCATCAACCAGCTTGTCCAGCCCTCAACATTTAACCCCATCCTTCACCTCCCCCAGCAACTCCCCAAACCTCTCCCTAATACTCTGTCTCCTCTCCTCCAACCCCTCACAATACTCCACCTCCTCAATCCTCACACTCCCCCTCTTCTTCCCGCCCAAACTCAACAAGCTGAGCCCGTCAACCAACTCCCCAATATCCTCCAACCCCCTCCCAGCCTCAACCTCTTCCTCCATCTCCCTAGCCCTCTGCTTCACCCCAACGAGCCCCTCCCTCTTTTCCCTCCCAGAAGCACTCGTAAACTCCCCCCACAGCTTCCTCTCCTCCTGCTGCCTCGACGCCAACAGCCCATCGCTGGCCATCATATCCCGCTGTGCATCCCCCAGCAGTTCACGCAGCCGCTGCGCCTCGCGCCGGAATATCCTCTTCTCCTGGATACTAACGTAGCGCTGCGTGGCGCGCGTAGCCCAGTGCTGCTCCATGGACTGGAGGGCCGCGCAAACGCCGACGTCGTAGGCGTGCAGGGTTTCGGCCTCGCGGGACGCTTGTATGGCTTCTTTGAGCTTGGGCGGGAAGGGGTCGAGGGGGGGCGAGAAGGAGTATGCGGAGGACGATGTTGTAGTTGTCGTTGTAGGGGTTGGGTTCGCGCTTTGGGTGGCCATTGGGGCGTCGGGCTCGGGGACGCCGCCACCCCTGACGGGGCTGGATTGTTGTTCCTGTTCTTGTCGCTGTTGAGGTTGAGTCGGGATTGAGGTTTGATTGGAAGGGGAATGGGGGATGAGACGGAGGAGGGTCATTGTGACGTTTTTTTTTGGTTGCTGGTGTCAAGGATGTGTGATCGAGTCGCTTCGAGAAGTTGCGGAGAAGATGTAAAAGTCTTGGAAGATAGATCTAGTAATGTGATATATCGCTCGTCGTTGGATTGGATTGGGTTGTTCGCGGGGAATCTTGGATCTTGGTTTGGCGTTTTTGCCGTGGCTTAAGCCCACCCCCTTTTCCTTTGTTTATCCGCACAAAGCAGAGACAAGTATCTCGCATGTTTTCGGCCGGTTTTGCATGGATTGAAACCCTTTGTGCGGTTTTGGTAGAGGAGCGAGCAAAATTCTGGAGCTTAGAAACAAAGAATGAGCGCGTCGGCGCGTTGAAACAGCTTCCGGTCGGGAAGATGGGACTGTTCCGGGGCGCTGTTTTGCCACCATCATGGATTCAGGGGTGAGATGACGTCTCGGCCCGCATGTTGTGCAGATGCCACAACCTTAAAACGTGAGCCATCCGAACTCTGATTTACTTCGACTTTTTTTTTTTGGTCATGGGAATGAGATCCCCTGGAAATGCGGTGCCCTTACTTTTGGGCATGGGGAAGCTGGTGGAGAGCGAAGTCGGAAAGAAATCCGGAACTTTCGGATGGGGGCAAACTCGACGGCTTTAGGAAAGGACAATCTTGATCACAGAGAGAAAACCAACGACTCAAAGGGAAGCTACCGAAACCGATTATACTTCTTTATACATGCATTGATGTTGTTGCTCTGCGTCATCCTCGGTTGCAGGTTGGACATGTCGCCCCGTCATAACCCCCGGAGACCAACACACCTTCAGCTCCTTGACGTCCTTGCGTCAATGGCCGCAAAGGCCTCATAATTGGATCATCAGTTCGTTGTTTGAAGGGATCGTCGATGGCTGGCAGGGACGTTGTGAAGTTGTTCTTTCCTCTGCAATACGGGGTAGCCCCCCTCACTCCAGAAGAATCCATGTCTTGGCAGACAGACATCAAGCTTCGCGGCCGACATCAGCGCCAGCCAATCCGCTGACCATGTCAAAATGGTCATCACGGTGCGCAATGAAAGAAAACTCGAGGGGACGAAAGGCGTTTGCACTCCTCCCCCCGCGATTGTTGATCAGAGTGCATTTGTCCGCTCGTTGCGAGGGGGTCCCCGCGCCGAGGGTTAGGGTCTTCTGTCCCAAGTCGCGCGCACCCAGATTTCAGAGGGCTTCCCCTCTTGACATGCAGTTGCTGGACAAGGCGTTGGCCTATGATGGGACGCGGCGAAGTCCGAGCATTGGCGGCAGGCACAACGGCGGCAAAGTGCAGAATTCAGGGACCTCATTGGATTTGCATCCCACCTTCCAGTTGTCGTTAGCAGTTTCGGGGCAGAACGACGCGCCCTCAAGGCCAGGCTGCGCGCCAAGCTGTCCCGCGATGCGGGGTCTTGTTCAAGGATCATGGTGGTGGGCACGATGGTGGGGTGAACGGCTGTGGATTCAGATAAACTTTTTTTTTTCTCTTCGGCTTCCAGAAAGTCAAGAAAATTCCACTCCACGGCCGTTGTATTTATCGTCTTTTTTCAGAATACCCAACTTCCCTTCCCCGTATTCTCGTTTTCCCCTATCATCCGTTGCATCGCATTGTCTGAAGCAGGTAGCCTTCCCTTCGACTGCCCCTCAACCCCACCATCTCGGCATCCCACTTATCACTCATCGTTGCGCCGATTAGCCCGGCGCTCACCACACGGCCAAGATGGTTCAGAAGATCTACGTTACCTACAATGACGTGAGTCTCGAGGCTATCACAACACCCAGCCGTTCACTTGGTTAAACATGTTTTGCTTCAGGTCCACAAGCTCTGCCAAGAGGCAGCCCCTAAGCTCCTCGAGACCGTTAACCCTCAGCTCATGATCGCCATTGGCGGCGGCGGCTACGTCCCCGCTCGTATCCTCCGATCCTTCCTCAAGCGCCCCGGAAACCCCAACATTCCCATCCAGGCCATTGGTCTCTCCCTCTACGAGCAGCTCCCCACCAGCACCGACGCCGATGTCGAGGAGGCGGGCACTAAGGTCACCCGCACACAGTGGCTTGACCTGACTGCCCTTGGCTCCATGGGCAGCCTGGTCGGCAAGCGCATCCTCATTGTTGACGAGGTCGACGACACCCGCACCACCCTCGAGTACGCCGTCAAGGAGCTCGAGAAGGATGTCGAGCTGGCGCGCGAGAAGTTCGGCGGCGAGAAGGCCCAGTTCAGCGTCTTCGTTCTTCACGTTGGTCTTCCTCCCACCGCAACGCCTGATCCCACGCTAACACAGGCAACACAGAACAAGGACAAGCAAAAGAAGGGTACCCTCCCCACAGACATGACCGAGAATGGCAGGTACTTTGCCGCCAGGACTGTTGGTGATGAGTGGATCTGCTACCCGTGGGAGGCCATCGACATCGATGAGCACGACAACAACGCCGCTGTGGCGGTGCAAAATGGGCAGTAGTGCACGATTTGACGAGAAAAGGAAAAATAAGGATACCTGGTATGAGCGGGCTTGGAATTGGCGGGAGTTTAGTCTTTCCGGAGTAGATTTGATCATGGGGAAGCCGGTGCAACGGAGTACGGAGAGGGTGACGCCCCTTATACCCATGAGCCTCCGAGTGGGGGGGCAGGTCAGATGGCATGTCCTAGGCCGCGTTTAGTAGGACAGAGGAAGGGGAACAGCAAACAGCCTTTGATATATCGATACCGGCTGGGTGGCGCAACGGGGCGCTCCTCAAGAAACTCGTCTGAATCGCCCACACGTATTTAACCCCTGCCGGGACAAGCGAAGATGGCGGTGTATTAACAGAGATCTATGTGACTCCTCCCACCAGAGTCGCCCAGTCTATCACAACACCACGCTCAAGGAACCAAAATAAATAATACAAGGAGCATCCTACCCGCCCATCGTCCCCTCACGCAAGTGTTTCTCTTTCAGCCTCTTCTCCTGCTTCATAAACTCCCGTATCCCCACCGGAACGCTTTTATACAGCTCGTCGTCCCACGTCTTCTTCGAATCCCCGCCCGAGGACGAAGGAGGTGGACCCAGGTCCCAATTTCCAACGCTACCACCGCCGTCATCGTCCATGCTCACCGCTCCCCCGTCTAACACGTGCACGCCCAGATTCATCTTCCTCCCCGTCTCGCCCATACTCGCTCCCGTCGCACCAACGCCCGCCTCCTGCGCCCTTAGCCTCCTCTCCGCCTCGGAATGCGCGCCCGCCCACTCTTCCATGTCATCACGATACCGATCCCAAACGCAATTAACACACCCACTCATACAACAATTGTCAGGCTCGTCAGGGCGAGGCGGCACCAAGACACCGGCGATCAGCCGGCTCCGACTCCGGATTGCGGCAAGGCGCTCGGCGCGCTCGGCTGGCCCAGCTAAGCTGGAGCCGAAGACGACGCTGGCTCGGGCCTGTGCGGAGGCATCATCGTTAGATCTGGGTCCGTTCAGATTCATGGGGCTCGTTCAATGGAGGCGGGACAAGAAGAGGGGTTGACCAAACTTACTTGGCTTTGCCATTCTCCTTGGGCTTGCGCCCGCGCTTCGCCGGTGTGGGGGCAGCAGGGGCGGCCTCGGCCTCGGCCTTGGGCTCAGCCTTGGGCTTCTCCGGCGCCGGAGCAATCGGAGGAGACGGCGGCGAGGTCTTGGCTGTGACGGGCGACACCTCGGGCTTCTTGTCCGGGATGGGCTGCGCCGAGTTGAGGATGGCCTCGTAAAAGGGGCCGATGGGGTGCGCCTGCGTCTTGGAGGGCTCAATTGGCGAAGGAGGGGTCGTGTCCTTGATCGGGGGCGTGGCAAAGGCGCGTCGGGGCTGCTGGTTGCCGAGGGCCTGGGTCAGGGACCGCACCGGTCGGGCGCCGAAGATGCTTCTCCGCATGGTTTTTAGGGTTTTTAGGGTTTAGTATTGAGGGAACGGGCGCGCGTGTTATTGCGGGCGCATCCAATGACACTGGCGGGGGCCGTTACGCAGGAACCGGAAGGTTTATGGTTCGGGCTAGAAATT